GCTTGATGTGGAAAGTCTTCTTGGGGCCTGGGATGGGGGTGAGGTTGTAGGTCAGCTGACTCCACAGAAATTGTCCAGAAATTTGAAATCTCCAACAACTGGAACTCACTGAAAAAATCTCTAACTTCAAGTTAGAGATGGAGAGCTTGGATGGTTGCAACTGAATTAGCTTAATCATTACCCAGGTAAGATTAGAGGAATCATAACTTTCTTGAAAACCTGGGTATGTATTAAACTGCAATCATGCCACCACCTCCACACCCCTCTAACAGGCTCATCACTGAGCACTCAACTTCCTCTTGACCACCCAGCCCCCTGCCCCGTCCCGAGTAGAGTCTTCAAAGTTTTACAGTGGCTGCAGGAAGGTTTACTAAAATGATACTAGAGATTGCAGACTTCAATAATAGGGTAAGACCAGGAAAGCAGGATCGTTTTTCTTAGACGAGAGGACTTAAGAGGGTATTAACTGACATAATCAAAATTATGAGCATTTTTTTATAATAAAGGAGGAGAAAAGCTTTTCCAGTAGAAAGAGGGTTATTAATCAGTGGCACAGATTTAAACAATTAGCAGATGAATCAGAGGAGCAATGTGTACAAATGTTTTTGCCATGAGTTATTTTGAACTGAAATACACTGCCCGAGACGGCGATAGTAACAGATCAAATAGTAACTTTAAAGATATAATTGAATGTTTATATGAAAAGTTAAAAAGAAACAACGGGCTGGAACAAAAGAGTATGGAATGTAACTGATTGCATAGCTCTTTCACAGAGCAAGCACAGGCATCATGGAACGAATGGAGTTACTGTTTGTAATTGTACTCCATGCTAACACATTTTCTCCATTTTAACTTTGCACCCCTAGCAGGAAGCTGGAATGTACATCATTTATTCTTTTGTGCATTTCTGATACTTTTTAAAAATTCGGGCAATGTTTACATTTATTTCTCAAACGTTATTGTCCTTGAACTAAAAGGCTTGCTCGGGCACTTCAAGTTCGACAAGGCACCTCAGGACCACCTTCTCAAGGGCAATAAAGGACAGATAATAACAGCTAGCGACAACGCATACCATGAATGAACAAAAATAATTTAAAAGGGAATTGACTTAAGCGATACTTTCCCTGATACAGGAAGCTTACTTAGGAAAAATTGGAATGCATACCTCACAACACAGCCTTTGCATTCTCCCTGTCTGTCTCTGTAATTCCATAATCCAATAGGTTTACGATCCAAGGACGTTTCCCCCATACAGCCAGAGAAAGTGGTTGTTTTGACGACATCTGATTTCTTCAAGGATTTTATAAAAAGAACGATAATTACAATACTGACACAACTGATATTATCTTCTGTGTTTTTCCAGTTACAAGCAGAGATTTTCTGAGTGAAAGATTGATGTGTAATTCACTTCCAGCTGTTCCATAAACTAATATTCTCCTCCATGGTGTGAAAAGTAAATGCATTGGCGTCAAATCGACTGAGAAACAGAAATAAACAATTTGCCTGTCTTCAAATTGAAGTTCGTTACTCGGGTATGTAAAATACTCCTGATTTAATTGCCTTAATGGATCAGACATTTAAAAAATCTCAATGCCTTAAAGTAACAGGCAGCCTGACTTATTTTCTCACCAGCAGGGTGACTATCTCAGAAAACATGCAGTAAAATTCACCTGCAAGTTGCAGATCCTCTGCATTATCAGAGGAATCAGTAAAATTGCTGCCATCTAAATCAGCTAAAAGAGCCAGGTCCTGTTTGAGATGCAGGAGGAGGCTTTCCAAAAAAAAGCTACACATGTAGAGTACAGAGAAGTGATTATGGCACTAAGTGTCACATCTATTAATCTGGAGATGGCTGCAAGACATATCGACCTTATCCAAGTCTTAACAAGTCAGGTAAAAGAAGATGAATCAGCCACACTTCTTTTGCAGTATATTTAAATGATTCAGCATTCTGAGGAAGGGTCACTGGACCCAAAACGTTAACTCTGATTTCTCTTCACAGATGCTGTCAGACCTGCTGAGCTTTTCCAGCAACTTCTGTTTTTGAGTCAAAACCTTCTGATGGGTCTGGAATGCTCACTATTCTATTATAATCTACTACAGAAATGATCTTTGCCAAGAGAAACGCTTACGCAATACTGTTACAAGTCACATCCATTTTATATGACATGTTAATATGTTCCTAGTTAACCACCAGAACGGACCATGAACAGCAGGCTCCCTGCAATGCAAGCCTTTGCCTTGAGGTGAACCACTTCATCTCACTGAGGGGTTTGGTCACATGACTCCTGCAGTTTTTGAATCCTTTTTGAATATTGGATTTGGAAACACAGACACTTCATGGATCAGCGCTACTCCATACAACACTTACTGAATCAACACCCCTAACTCCAGGCCTCAAAGGAAAAACTACCAGCCTGTAAAAAACCACCAACCATTGTGCTATGCAAGTGAAATTTCCTTTGATCAAAACTGATAAGTAGAAGTTACATTTCAATAAAACTTCCCCAGCGGACTTTAAAAATCTTGTCAAAACAGAGGAAACTGCTGACAATTCCTCGACTGCTGGCCAGCTAACCAACTTTGGACTTCACCTTAAAAAGTAAGGAATTATTAAATTGGTCTCTCTTGTTTTTCTTTTTAATTTTTGCATATAAGCAGCTCTTAATTGAATAATTAGTATATTTTTCTGATTCCACCTCTCCATGTACTTTTGTGAATGCTTGTGATGCAAAGCATTTGTGACCCCTCCCTCACCCCAGCCTCACGTCTAAGAGCGTGTGAAATAAATCTTCTGGTTTTAAATAAACCACAATGATGTTGAGCTCCTTGCAAATTCACAGCCCACAAACAGAAGGAATAAGGAAATACATGTTAAAAAAAGGGGAAAAACATAACATCATGATTTGCTAATGGCTGGGCACCAAGAACAAGGAGAGGGATTTGTTTTAGAATTTGCACTCCGTCTGTGAACAACATGGGTCAATTTGATGAGCAACACACATTTTCCCTTATAAATGGTTTCACACAATTTGGCATTCACTGTTAGGCCTGGGAATTGTGATCAGTAATGTATCTGCTTATGAAAATGGCTTCCAACTGTGAACATCAGAACAAGTGTGAGAAAATAATATGAATTGTAAGAAAGACTTGCTTTGGTTTTCAACTATTTTCTGATCTTTCTTTGCATCCTGTGCTATGTATTTGTTTGCTTGGCTGCAGACTTGCAGCCACATATTTATTGGTTTTAAGATCGCATAACAGTGGTACAAAGTTGACATTAGTTTAGATTTTTCCAATGCCTTCCCTCTATTTTTCCCAGCCAATGGGGAAGTGCCTGGCTTCCAATCAGCAACATATCACATCTGTACAGGAATAATGTCCAGAAGTCTACAGTTCATTGACACACACTACATATCAGTGTTCCAAGAAGCAAAGCAATCAAACTGTCAAAAACATTCAACAGTACTAATTCTTAAAGATCTGATATATAACAGTATCAGTTGTAGCCAGTGTTTGGCACACTTATTTCCACATTGGAGCTTTGCGCGTGCAAGTCCCCCTCCACAGCTTTTCAATCTAGGACTGACAGAGTTCTTGTATTCTTAGAGATGCTGCTTTCAGATGTTACATGAAGGCTCCATCTGCACCTTCAAGTGGATGCAGCGATCTTGTGTTACAACTTTGAGGAATAGCAAATGAACTTTCCCCACTGCCCTGGCCAACATTTATTCCTTAAACAATTTCTCTACAACTGATTATGCGGGGTTATTATCAACGTGTTACTTTGGGATCTTGCTGTGTACAAATTGGTTGCTGTGATTCTACAATAAAAAAGTGAAAGCACTTTAAGAGTCATTTCAATGGCTGCAAAGTATTTGACATGTCTTGATGTTGAAAAAAAACTTACAAATCGGACCACAGAAATGCCCATTGGATGATCCAGTTATGTAATGGTGAGAAACATATATCTTCAAATAAACATATCCAAGTACTGGCAGATCATTTCTGTAAATGGCTTTTTAATTACATTGATTGATCTTAAAGTTTAAATAAATTTTATGCCATACCTTTACTTCTCCTGTTAGACCACCAACAAACAGATAAGCATTTTCATCCACATCAAGAATTGTATAGCCCTCAGGTGATACTGCACTGTAAGTGGTTGGCACAATGCTTGCCCTTGGTCCATCTAGTGCACGCACAGAAACCGTACCATTTCTTCTAAACCTGTTTTTTGTTTGTAAAATAAATGATCATTATTACAAATCAAGAGGGAATTCCTGAGCGCACAGCGGAACATACAGATTCCAACCATTCAGTAAACTTTATTTTCTATAGCAGACTTCAACAATTTTCATTGTATAACATTGTTTCCATCAGACAAAGATTAAGGTGAGAAAACATTTACGATGGCAGAAATGAAGAACTGATAGTAGGATACCAGAATCTTGAAGAATCTGAGGAGTTTTTAAAAGAAATCATCCTATTTTCTAACTCATTTTCTCATGTTTTTATGTAAATCACAGCAAATCGATGGCATAGAAGTAGACCATTTCAGCTATTCATCTCTGTGCTGGCCAAGAACTTATCCAGCTTAATTCTATTTTAGTGTTCTCGGATTGTGACCCAGTTGATTACAGCGCGTCAAATGCCTATCAAGTGACAAAGGCTTTGTCCTCCAGCAGCCTTTCAAGCAGCAAGTTCCTAAACTGACCAGTCTCAGGGTGAAAATAATTTCTCCTTAACTTGTGTCTAATAGTTCTTAATTTATGTTTATGCACCATGGTTATTGACCCTTCTGCTGAGGAAAATAGATCTTTTGTTTTTATTCTTTCTAGGCTCCTAATAATTTGATACAACATTGCTGGTTCTCAAAAAAAGCTACAGCTTATCCAATTTTTTTCTCATGATTGAACTCCTCTAGTCCTACATACAAGATTCAGAGGTGGCTTGACAGGGTAGATGTTAAAATGTTTCCTCTCGTGAGGGACTATCGAACTAGGGGACAAAGTTTACAGATAAGTGGATACTCATTTAAAACTGAGATGTGAAGGAATTTCTTCTCTCAGTGAATATATGGAATTCTCCACCCTAGAAATTTATCGAGACTAGGTCTTTTTAAAGAGGAGGAAGAGAGGTTTTTGAAATATCAGGGAGCTAAGGGCTATGAGGAGCTTATGATGAACGGGGAGTTGACTTATGGGATGAATCAGCTATGATCTTGTGGAATGGCAGGGTGGGCTAGAGTGGTTGAATGGCCTACTCCTGCTCCTATTTCTATGCTCCTACGTTCTTTGCTCTGGCAACATCCTTGTAAATCTCCTTTGTGGTTTAGCCATAACTACTCTAACACATTGCTTTCCAAAGAAGGTGGGTGCAAGGGCTCCTTTGTCATCCTCACTTGGGCTTCTATTAACCACTTAGCTTTGATATATATGAGAATACGCTTGCACTGTTACAATTATGAGGTTTCTAAGACTACAATATTTTGGGAATCTCTCTTTAAATTTAGAGTCTCTGAGAGGAGTCATGTGATCTGTTCTCTGCTTGACAGCATGCCTGGGTGATTTACTTGGAAGAGATCAAAGGCAGGCTCATGTTCTTTTACTGAGAGGAAAATGCAAGGCATTTTTACTTGGAGACAATGATAAGAGTCTCTGAGTACACTGTTCTAAAGTGTTGTAGATTTCAATTTGTAAATAGTTGTTGATGATCATCCCTATGATGAAAAGGAATTGGGATCAAGGATGAATATTAAGTGTTAATTATCACAGAGAAAGTAATTGTATCCCGTTGCCATGGGCAACAGGGTGGAGGAAGGCATTTTGAAAATCAAGTTAAACCCAGGAATATCACAAACAACCAGCAGATTTTGCAGTTTGGTTTTATGAGATCAGCAGCTATCTATGAGGCACAGAGCAAGGTATAGAAGCAGGAATCTACTTCAAGTAGATAAATGCGGACTCTTCCTTCACCACGCTGAACTTTGTGGGGGAGCCCATGTTCAGATTGAAGGCTGAATTCATGAGGAGTGAAAGGAAACTGGAAGGTTTGCTTAGCCTGAATCCAGTGGAAGGGCTCTACAGTGTAGCCCTTACAGGCAGTTTCAGACCTAGGAGTTAGATAGCTGGGAAGGCACAATAAGGAAGCAAGCCATCAGGAGCTGAGAATAACTTCAGACTGGGTCCTAGCAAGATGAAGTTGCACTTTAGGAATGATGTTACCTATGATGCAGTGGTAGATTTTTGTTTGTGTTAAGAATTAAAACTATAATTTGCTTTCGTGAAGAAGATAATATTTGGTCAATAGTGTTTGATAGTCATTTGTAGTCATGATAAAAATGTTTTCAAATGTAAGATCTTGACATCTCATTTTTTTACCTGGACATTTGAATTTCTCTTCAAAAGTTATCTTGACAGCAATTTAACAACATACTTGGAAATAATTTACAGCAAAAGAAACAGTTCATTCAGTTCAAAAGGTCCATGTTAATATTTATGTTTCACACAGATCTCCTGCTTTTCATTTAATCCCTATCTTTGTATTCCTTTCTCCCTCTTGAGTTTCCCTGTCTAAATTCCCTTTAAAAGTATCTTTGTTAGCTGCTCTGATTACTTCTTGGAATAGCAGGTTACACATTCAAATCATTCCCCGGTAAAAATAAGTTTCTCCTGGATGCCCTAATGGATTCATTAGTGACAATCTTATATATCTGACTCCTAGTTGCACTCTCCTTCCACGTGGATACATCTTTTCTACATCTACCCCATTTAACCTCATATAATCTTCAAGGCCTCGATCAGACTCCTCTAGAGAAAATGTCAGCAGCCTGTTCAATCTTTCCTAATGGGTATAATCTTTCAGTTCTTGTATTGTTCTAGTAATCTATTTTTGTACTTTCTTCAGTGCCTCTACACAGTACTCCAAGTATGGTCTGACCAAAGGTCTAGACAAGATTGATACAATTACTCTGATATTCAATTCCATCCCTCTTGAAGTAAAACTCCATAACATTTTTTTATTTTGCACTGACTGTTTTTTGGTATTAACCAGTGTTGTTACTTTCAGTGACTTATGTGTGTTCACTACTTGATCCCTCTGCTCTTCTCCACAGTATATAAATTTATTTCCCCAAGGAGTATGTCTCTCTATCAATGTCTCACACTTTGCTATCTTGAAGTATGTTTGTCAATTGAATGCCCATTCTGCAAGTTTATTAATATATTGCTTCATCTTAGTCACAGACTCTAGATTAACCACCTCCATCAACTTGATATCATCTACATATTGTGAATTTACCAAGTCTTCTTACCCGTCCTATCAGAGAAGCACATTGGCTCCATTTAGAACCCATTTAAAGCAATCCAAACAAAGATAGATATATCATGAGATTTGCACACTTGGATTGCACAAAGATCATGAAGCAGGATTCCTTATTCTGGATGAGTGGTGGGGGGAGCTATTAGGAAGCTCCCCTCAGAGCATCATTGAAAGATCCCAACCATTTTCATGGCAGAGCTTTGTTTTAAAATTCACAGTACCCTGATGTGCTTTTGTGGCACTGTAAAGCAGCTTTCTGACTTGAGTGTAAGGGTGAAGCCAGAAAACCAGCAATTCCTACTTGATGACAAACTGTTATGTTTTGATTAAAAGGGCAAGGCAAGTGCTTCAGCAGGCTGGGTACCTTGCAGCTCAATGTTTGTGGGTGAAGAGGAGCACTGAAAGAAATGTTAACCCTCTATTTGTTCCCACAAACAAAGCTAAAAGGAAACAAGCACCTCCTGGATTAGTCATTAGGAGTGTCTTTGAACAATGCTGGTTAGGTCACCTTATGTCCAATATCATCAGTACTTGAAAACATTGCGACACTGGGTTTCCTATTTGTCAACTCCAATTAAAATAATTGGCTGGAAAGATAGCAGGAACGAGACAGTCAATTCTGCTTCATGATTTTGAAAGGATCATTACTCATTTCTCACTAAAAAAAAATCAAAATTTAGGTCGTAAGGAAGTGAAATTTCTCTGCTGTTTTAACAGATTGGTTCAGAGATACGTATGCAGTCCACATATTTAGCTTAAATTAAAATTTAAATTCAAAGAGACAAGTGGAGATTTGTTCCAAAGCCCATGTAAACTATGCGTACAATGTCACGTAAATATATGACAGGACGGTGGCTCAGTGGTTAGCACTGCTGTCTCATAGCACCAGGGACGTGGGTTCAATTCCAGTACGCGTGGAGTTTGTACATTCTCCCTGAGTCTGCACGGGTTTCCTCAGAGTGCTTTGGTTTCCTCCCACAATCCAAAGATGTGCAGGTTAGGTGGATTGGCCATGCTAAATTGCCATAGCGCCTCGGGATGTATAGGCTAGGTGGATTAGCCGTGGAAAACGCTGGGTTACAGGGATAAAGTAGGGGTGTGAGTCTGGGTGGGATGCACTTCGGAGAGTTGGTGTGGTTTTGTTGGGCTGAATGGCCTGTTTCCCACTGCAGGGATTCCAAACAATGTAAAGATCAAGCATCTTGATCGTTAAAATTCAGCGAAGGAAAGAGTTATTGAAAAAATTTAAGGTAGATTTTTTAATTAACAAGTGCACTTGAGGAAGAGTAGCTCTTGCACATCTGGAGTGGAACTTTTTATATGTCTACCTGCAACTGCCATAGTTGGATGTGTATAAAATAATGTTCAATAACAGTTTGAGCAAAAATAAATTCAGAAGTATGAAACTTACCTTGAGGCTTCAATTCTGTACCAGTATTGGTCATTAATGATTAGGTCTGGGTATTCAACACGTCCAACACCAGATCCTACATCCCACAGAAAGTTGACTTTGCCTTTACGCATCTCAATTGCTAAGAAATCAGTCTGTAGGATGAGAGCAAGTTCAAAGCTGAAAGCTAACTTAGGATCGGTGCTAACACTTTGATTAACAGTGTTTCAAAGAAGGAAATACCTATAAGTATGACGAAAATCTTCAAACACTGCAGTGCTTCTTAAAACGTATATATGAACCATTATAATACATAATTATAAAATTAGTTATTGTACAGAAAGACACCATTTCCCATGTGTCCATGCCATCTGTCTGCAAGAGAGCTAATCTCACTACTCTGCCAGTTCCCTATACCACAATATTTTTTTCTCTGTTCAGATAATTGTCTAGTTTCATTTGAAAAGCCACAATTGCATCTGCTTCCAACATAATGCTGCTGGTTCCAAGCCAGATCAATGAAAACATTCAGTTGCTCTCGAACAATAAATTTGTAAACCTCAGTAAAGAGCCTAACTTTAAGTACTTCAGTTGATAATTGACTCATGAGTTAATATTCCGCATTTCTTTTAACCATTCAGCTCCGCTAAGCTTTAATGTATACACATGTATAAGGATATATTCACCCATTCTTAGCTCAGCGGTAACACTCTTGACACCAGTTAGAAGGCAATACACATTGTAGATGGTATACATTGGCAATCTTAAGAATGCTGGTGATTGAAAGATGAATTCTTGATGTGAATGGGTTGCCAATCAAGTGTGTTGCATTAGTGTTGAGCTTCTTGTATATTGTTAGAGCTGCCCTCATCCAGTCAAGTGGAGAGTAATCCCATCATATTCTTGACTTATGCCTTGTGGATGGTGGACAGGATTTAGAGAGTCAGGAAGAAAGTTGTTTGCAACAGAATTCCCTGTCTTTGTCCTGTTTTTGTAAGTACAGTATTTATCTGAGTTGCCCAGTTATGTTGCTTGTCAATGGTTAGCACTTATGAATCATCCATAGCTGTCTTTAAACATACTTACATCGATGATATAAACCCACTGAATTGAACACTGCTAAAAACACAGCAATGGAATTTCACATTTGAAAAAAAGCACATTCGTTCTCGGTTCTAAAGGAAATTTTAGTTGAAGATATTGCAATTTGAATGTTCAGTCAAAAGGTGGAGACAAACTCACTTCTAAACTACCTTGTTGCCTGAGCCAGGATAAATATCGAACATTGAGTGTCTGTGGGCTTGATGATACCTCCACATTTTGAGAAAACTGTTGCTCAGCAGCACATTTCACATTTGATGAGTAAAATAAAAATTATATATATGTGTGTGTTTAATTGTATAACTAATTTTTATATAGTGCTCATATGATGGAGCATTCAATAAGTTTTTAATCATCCTGGAGGATTGAGTCTCAAAAACAAACAAGTTTTGAGGGACGATGGCAAATGACAACATCAAAGTGGGATTTCAATCAAATAGTTCCTATTTTCACACATTTCTCCCTGTTTTGGTCAATGCCTGACATACTGCTCTGTAATGGCCTAAAATGTACCCTCGCGGGTATGGGTGAAGCAGTCTGTAGTGAGATCTCCAAAGGATACCGGGAATGAGCAGGTTGTCATATGAAGAAAGGCTGGGCTTGTTTCTACTGGAGTTTCAAACAGTGAAGGTTGACTTGACTGAAGTGCAAAAGATTCAACGCAAAAGGTTTTGACAAGGTGGATGTGGGTGGGTGAGTCCAGAGGTAGGGTACACAGTTTTAGAATTAGTGGTTGCACTTTCAATAGTGTTGAGGAAAAAGTAATTCTCTCAGCATTGTGTGACTTTGGTTCCACAGGTGGTGGTAGCTGGGTCATAAATCATTGAATCATATAGGATAGAAGAGGCCCTTCAGCCTATCGAGTCTGGACCACCATATTTTTAAGGCAGAAGTAGATAGATCCTTGTTAGGGAATCAAAGGTTGTCAGAATAGATGGGAATTTGAAATTCTAAGCACAACAGATCAGCCATGATATTATTGAAGAGCGTAACAAGCTTTAAATGGTTTACTCCTCCTCCTCATTTGTATGTTTGTATGTAAAAGCCAGAGGATATCATCCAAGAGTAGCTCAATCATCCAAGCTGAAATCTAAGCCACTATCTCTATCTCTACTGTAGCCACAGGGACTGCACTAAGCAGGAACACTGGGAAAATTAAGATTTACATTAAATACAGGAAATGGTGGAAATATCAGCGTGTACAGCAGTATCTGTGGAGAGAGTTAACATTTCAGATTGAGGACCTTTCTTCAGAATTGAAAGATAGAAATGTAACAGGATTTAATAGGCAGGGTAAAGGAAGAATAAAAGAGAAGATCTGCTGCAAAGGCTGACAAGTAGGAAAGATTTACTGATATAAGATTTCATGGCAGAAAATGAAAGGTAATGGTTACAATAAAGAAACAAAAGATTTGCCCAGAGTGATTTTGAGTGGTAGAGTAATGAACAGCCATGTCAGAACATAAAGGTGTATCAAATAAGTTTAAGACCAGTACGTTGCTAAATAACCAAACAAAATGAGGGGACAGAAATTGCTCTGAAATTGCTGTACTCAATGCTGCATCCAGAAGGTTGTAAAGTGTTTAATCAAAAACTGAAGGAGTAATTATCAAGGTTGTGTTCACTGGGATACTGCCACACGCCAAGAGCAGAGTTGTCAACATGACAGAAATGTGGAAATCCAAAGTGGCTGGGCTACCAGAGCTTGTGGATTGAATGAAGATGTTTAGCCATGTCATCTGTGCAAGTTCATTAATGCCTGGAGAAATAATTTTCATCGTAATGCAACTGCAACTGTTAAGCAGTAAACTGGCAATATTGATCCTATTTGGAACTAGTGCTCCCACACCACTGTTGTAATCTGTGTTCCCAATGCTATAGCACTCCCGCACTCACTTTACTACCCTGGAAAATCTCACAGTGTCTGTAAAACAACAACTGCTTAAATTCTAAGGTTTTGTCACCTCCATCTCCAGCCACACTGACCATATCATAAGCAACAGGGCGAAAATGTCATATAAATAGTCAATTAAGCAGGCCTTGAGTTATCAAATAGAACCAGGGCATTCTTTACATCTGTGTAGGACACCTGGATGACACTACAGCTGCAGACACTGCACAAGACCTTGACTGGCAGCCCAACGTTTTGTTTAATGTTAAAGTTAACCTTTAAAACAATAAAGAAAATGACATAAAAATCTCAAGTGAGCGTACTTACATATCGTGCACTACCAAGATAAAATAGTAGATTCTCCAGCTCCGATGTCTTCACATTCAGAACAATAGAGTTGTATGTGCCTTTTTTAATGTCAGGACGGTAAGTGCGGATACAGTCACCACCAGAAGAAACTGACACTTTAATCTAAAACAAGTGAAAACAATCATATAATTAATGGAGCGTAACAAGTTTAACAGAAATACTTAACTCATATTTATCTTGTTGATTGAACTACTCACAGAGTTGGCATGTTTACGGGCTTGATTTATAAGATCTTTGATGTGAGAGATATTCCTCCCCAGAGTGTCCTGAAGATTCTTGATTGGTTTCAGTTTATCCATTAACTTATCTGCTTTATCTTCCAATTCTTTAACTTTCATATCAGCATCAGCAACTTAACACAACAGGAAAGAAATATAAATGTGCAAGTTGTTTTGTTTCCCATTTTAATAAAATCAGAAACAATCAAGGTCACAATGATACATCCTTCTCAGATTTTGCAAGAAAGGAGATTGCTCAGTACAATAATCTTTATTCTTTTAATGGAATGCTATGATACAAACTTGTCCATGAATTTTATAAACCTTAAATTTGTAGACTGTAGGATAACAATTTCTACAGAAAGTATCTAAAATCTGTTACTATTAACTTAAATACGGAGATGTTCTCATTCATAAATAAGAACTCACTTAGGGGAGTACAAAGATGGCTCTAGTATTTACTGACAATTTCTATCTGAAAAATTCTTTCCATACCTAGTCCTCTTTCACACAGCCACCACTCACGGTTCTTCTCAATTCCATTTGATTTATGAAGAATTACATTGTTGCTATGGCAACAGCATTGCTAGAATTAAGAGTTTGACATATGAAGCACCAGGAAAAATACCTTGATTGATTTCCATATTTAATATCAGTATTTTGGATTGACTATGTTAATTTAAAAATTACAGTTCATTGGGTTTTGATGATTGCAAATAATTTTTGCAGATTTTTGCTGTCTTTGGAAACTTTTACTGTGTAAATCTGATTTCCTTTGGGTGCTTGTTTACATACCCCTTAACAGATTAAACAAGAATAAATCACTCTTTAAAGTGGTTTGTCTTAAATCCATTTCTGGACAGAGCAGTTCAGAGTAATGGGAAATTCCAATATTGAAGTATAGTTTTATGAACTCACTGATTCTCATCCAGTGGGGACACAAATTAGGATTTTGAGTACAGGTGTCACATTTTGTTACCATTGCCTGTTGGAAGATGAATTTGTAAAACACAGAAACATAGAAAATAGGAGCAGGAATAGGTCATTCAACCACTCGAGCCTGTTCCACCATTCAATATGATTATGGCTGATCAAATGCTTCATGCTTTCAGGCACAAAGTCTTACGCTTGTCTTCTTAACGTTCCTTGTCCCATTCCCACTATTTTTTACAGTGGCTTTGCTTGATTCTGGCCTTTGACACCTCTTCCTATCTCTTCTCTTATTGCCCTTTCTGTCTTTTGTTCTTGACCTTGATTCCCCTTTCTCTGACTCTTTTCATAGGTTCCCATTCCCCTATCAATTTGGTTTAAACCCTCCCAGACATTCTCTAGGACACCAGTTACAGCCCTACTCAGGTGTAACCTGTTCAATTTGTTGTGGTTCCACCTCCCCCAGAACATGTCCCGATGCCCAGAAGTCTGAAACCTTCCCCTTCACATCATCCCAAAAAGCCACACGTTCACCCAGTATATCCCACTAGCATGTAGTAATCCTGAGATCACTACCTCTGATCAGCTTGCTTCCTAACTCCATATACTCTGTTTTTAGGATCTCATCCCCCTTTTTACCTATGCTGTTGCACTAATGAGTACCACAACCACTGCCTGTTCATCCTCCCCTTGCAGGATGTCCTGTAGTCACTCTGAGACATCCTTGACCCTAGCACCGGGGAGGCAACAAGCCAACTTGGAATTTCAGAGATGCATATCTTCTCTCCTTCAAATTGAATCCCCTATGACTACTGCATTTCCAAACTTTCTCCTCTTCTCCTGTGCCACGAATTCAGCTGTTGTTGCTTACCCCAAGAGGTCATTCCTCTCAAAACAGTATATCTGTTTTTCGGGGGAGGGGCCACAGGAGTTCCTGGATTACCTACCTAATCCTGTTACTCTGCCTGGTGCTCACCCATTCCCCTTTTGCGAATGTTCCACAATGTACCTTGTGATGCATGCATCTTTACAAGGTTCCAGAATAAGATGCATTTGAGCCTGACACTAGGCAGCATGAGAAAACTAATGTGCTCATCTAACTATCAAGTGTAAAGCCACAAATTAAACTTGGTATAACATACAGAATAACAATGTAGATGTAGCTCATATTATATGCGGAGACAGGTGGATCACAAGATGCCAAAAGCTTAAGTTAAAGGATCAACGATTTCCTAATCTAGAAGTTGATGCCACTAACATACATCTGGAAAAGACTAAATGTAAACAAAATAACTAATTCACTGTGTTGATTTGAACTCCCTGTTAAGTAGATATTTACCTAGGTCCTAAATTTTCTCAAAATATACCCTGTCTAAAATATCGGCTTTTCTATGTACTGTTTAGATCCAAGGGATAAGTGAGTTACACCATGTTTTGTACTGAATAACAGTTCAGCAACAAAGTGGGTATGCTTGTAAATTACTTCGATTAGTTTTTGAAGTGGTGAAGTATGTCAATATAGAAAAATGGAACATTTTCCACTTCTGGTCAGAAATGGCACCATTAAAAACACCTCATTAAAGTGAGCTGGTCGGTAAAGTTCGTGTTATATTCCTGAAATAGAATGTCCCAAACCACACTTGGTAGAATAACTCCTATTGCATTCTTGCAAAATAGAAATTTTCCATGCAAATCATCCATGTTGCTTTTCTGACTTTCTGTAGAAACATAAATGTATTTTGAAATGTGCTCAGTAAGAATTAGGTTGAAATTCACACCATTAAAATTCGCTTAAGATCTTCGACTCTATCAGTCACAGTGTACTCGAGGGGAAATTATTTTGTTTTTTATTAATGCAAAGAACATCGTTTTAAGATGTTAGTAAAATGATGAGCAAGACTAGTTGTGTTAATTCTTCAAATGTACATCTTTTGATCACATAGGAAAATGCAACAGTATAACAGAAACATACTTGTCTTAGCCGGAGTGTTAATGGCAGCATTAGCTTTGGCCACATCATCTTTGAGTTTGCTGCAGTTGTCCTGCAATCCAAGGAGATTCTGGTTTAAATCTTTTATTTCCGCCAGCACTGCATTTGCAGTGTCATTTGCCTGTTTGGCTTTATCTTTAGCTGCTTGTATCTTGGCGCTTGCATCTGTTGTGTGGAAGAAATCTATATATTAATGTACTGCATGATAATATAAAAATAACTCAGCATTAACTTCACTATATAGTTAACATTGAACAGAAGGCATGCATTAAGAGCTGATTTTCTGATATTGCAATGCTAGAACAGAGCTGTAGTCAGTGGAGACACAAGGTGGAGTTTTCCAGGTCTTCATTCAACTCCACCATCACCATCATTTTCCTGTATGCTCCATGGACAACATTCCCTTCCACCCTTTGTCCACACAAGTGGGCATTGCCAAGGCACCAGCTTCACCACATCATCAAGGCTGTTTTCAGACCAATTCATACACCCACTTAAGCCCTTCACTCTGGAGCTTAGGGGCACTTACACCTTGCATGTTTCTGCCAAGTCACTTTGGCCACAGAGGCACAAACACATTGCAAACATCTACACAGGATGGTTCTTATGTATCTTCACTTACTTTCTTAGCAGTCATTCACTCTGCAATGACTTGAAGGCTTCTTTAGCACAGCGGGACAGCCAGACAATTTGTCACCGTCCAGAGCATTAAGTGGTCAGGGGGCCAACATGTGAATGCGCAGCACTGTCAATTCACACTTGCTGGTGGAGCAAATGGGGACTATGTTCACTCCTTGGCTGCCACTACTGTCAACTAAGAGGCACGTCTAAGCTCAGCACAGACGATTGGGCCACGGTCAGCCTTGTAGATCAAGTGCAACCAGTCTGGGAATCACAGAGACATCAGTCGAGAGGCTGAGTAGACATCCATCCTTTGATCCTGCTTATCGAGTGTCTCTGTTGTTGCTGTTCCTCCGCCTCTCTGTGTCACTGTTGGCCAAGACCAGGGTTCACCTTCTGCCTGGGCCTAAGCAGGTATCTGGCCAGTCATCCAATGTGTCAGGCAATGTGTTTCCAATGTGTTTCTTTAACCAGTTGCAGAGACCTGTCAGTGACATGCTCACCAGATTGTGCTCTCAATTCTAATCAGAAAGAGAACAAACTGAGATGCAGGCCTTTGAGTTTGTGGAGGGTTCAGGCAAAAGTCTTGTCAATTTGTCATTGGAAGGGAGAGTCACTTCCTTCAAAGGGTCATTGGCCCTGGCCTTTGTCTCCTGGCAGTTTGCTGGGTCTCACTATTGCCTGCATAAGAGAGGGCTAAAAATGTATTCAGGATAAGAATGGGTTCTTACTGGTGTTAATGGGGGAGGAGTGCAACATAGCACAGCACAATGAAGCTCACTTACTTGGTTGCCCATGGAGATCTCTATAGCCCCTCAAGAATTACTTCACTCTTTTCCAGCCAACTCCAGAATTATTCCGCAAATTGGTGAAAGACCGAATGTTTGCCTCCCCACCACCCATCTTTGCCCTCTCTAGCTGATTATAAAACATAACTTTCTGCAATGACACAGAAGGAAATATTGACGGGGATGGAAATGGATGGGAGATGGGTTATTGGTGAGGCAGGGGCAGGAGAGATGATCAGGTGTGTTCTGTGATTGAGTAGAAAGTGGAGAGGACAGAAAGGGTTAACAGTTTGCAAGTTTGAGGTGGGTGTTAGTGGACATGTTGCATAGTAATGGTTGCAATCCATAGACCTTGTTGAGAAGTGTGTGCAGTGGCAGTGTTAGAGTGAGTAGCAATGGCCTTGACAGCTTGAGATAGCAGGGCAAAAATGATGACACCTTGGCGAGCACAGAAGATCACTGACCTTCTTCCTACTCCACTTCGCTTTTTAAAAAAATATCCAGGACACTTCAGTGCCCGGGAATGCTAACTCCATCCAGGTTGGCTGCATCTAGTGGCCTGGCGTCCTTTAATGAAAATGGCACTGCTCTTCTTTCGACAAACCCATCCACCAGCATGTCCAAATCCGAGTCAGCGAAGTGAGAGGCGAGCCTCCCTTTCCGGGCCGTGTTGTTCGGGATAAGAAAGCAGGACCACAATGTGAGAGGCAGTTCCTGGCTTGGAGCATTTGAAGTGCTGTGCAGCTGTGTTGAAATATGGTGCTAGCAATGTGAATGTCACCAAATCCCTGCGGTAGTGAGCACCTCTCCTGCCTCACAATTTCACAGGTCAGGCCCTGAAAAGGCCGCTCGTGGCATCCATCAGCTCAAAACGGGATGACTGCTGGAGAACACAGGATATGAGCAACGGAAGACCACCACCGTGAATCTCAGACAAAAACCACTTTGCTCAAAAATGGGAACATTCAGCCCCACAGATCTAAAATTGTGAGTATATCGCCCATTGATTTTGCTCAATAGGTTACAGGACAGAATCAACAAGAAATGTTTGATCATTTCTGTTAGCAGATAAGACTTACAAGAATAATAGAATATGGCCAATTTCATCCTAAAAAAACACTACAGAAGCATAAACAGCCATATATCAGAAAAAAAGCCTACCTTTGGGAATGGCATGAAGTTTCGCAAGGGTATCATTTAAGGCTTTCAGCAAGTTTTTATTCTTTGTTGTACCATCATTTAGCCTATTTTGTAAGTTATTCAAGTCATCTCCTTTCTCTGAAAGACAAGGTCAAAAGCTTCAAGAAATGGCATCTATATAATGACACAGTTTGCTCAAACTGAATAAATTATTTGTTTGTACATTTCGAACTGTCTGTGTTGAATACAGTAGTTTCTTTTGTACTTTTAAACTGTTCAGGCTATAGTCAGGGATGGATGCACCATTCAATCAAATGAATCAGGCAGATCACCTTTGATGTGTGATCCATGTTTACTTTAATGTTCTCATGTACGGTTGCAATGGAATTTGATTTGATCTGATTTATTATTGTCACATGTACCTAGGTACAGTGAAAAGTTTTGTTTTGTGAGCAGTACAGGCAGATCATAGCACACAAAGTGCATTAGGGTAATAGAACAGAACGAAGAATAAAAAATTACGGCTGCAGGGAAGTTACACAAACAGCAAGATCAACATCAAATTCAAAATTTGAGAGGTCAATTCAGAAGTCTAACAACAAGTGCTCCAACACCATTTAGCTAAAACATTGAAAAATCAAAACGCTCCCCCATCTGATCACCATCCACTAACTCTTGCTTCAAAGTGTTTAACTCTGGACACTGACTGAATATTGAATTGTGACAGGACAGAATTGAGCTAGACTTTAAACCCTGACATTGTCAACAATTACTATGTAGACTCTCAAATTTGGTATGGTTCATTGAACAAAGTGTTACATTGACTGCTGGTATGCTTATGCCAGAAAGCATCAGTACATTTTGAAGATTGCAGAAAAATAAGCCCTTAGTTCACTAGGAAGTAAAGTTGGCTGAGAAGTCAAAATGTTTAAGGAATTACAGGCTAAGGTTGTTTGATCATAAGAATCATGCTCAGTACCAGAAATGGTAACCAGCCTATCATATCAGATGTTAAATTTTACTGGAATGCTACAGGCAAATTTAAACTCGACATAGGGCATGCTTTAAAGCAACAGACATCTGACAAGAACAACTAGTATAAAGAATGTGGCATTGCAGACTGTTGGAATAGATGATGCGTGTCACAAGTGAATCAGTAATTTTCGCACAACTGTTTCTCTCAACTCCAAGGGTCTTATTTCCTACAAAGCCTAGTGTACATTTGTCTGCTCAATATCTGTAAATGTAGCAAAACAAGGAATTAAACTGAACACCACCCCCCCCCCAGTTGCTGACCAGTTGGCCTTTTGTGAGAAGGAAAATAACAAAATATGCATTTCCTGGGCTGAGGCATTCTTTGAACAAAACATATTTTAACCCCAGAGGCACCGTAACAAATAGACAATACATAATAATATAAAATTAACAAATTTTAACTACAGCTTTAAACGGCTTTATTTTATTATGTTTTGGTTAGGTACTGACCCCCAAAGGGCTATTTATGTGTACATTTTCTTTCAATCATATATGACACTTTATAAATACAAATTCACTCTTTGCTTACCTTTTACATCTGTTCCCAAACGTTTGCCCTCGTTTAACTGTCTAAAGCTTTTCTGCAGTGAGCTCTTCGCAGTTTCCTTCAAAGATCCATCTGGACCAGATGCCTGATTAAGTGACAGCATTTTTTAAACCACTACATAAACGATGCAATGTTTACAATTTAATGATTACACCACTGTCTAACAATGTCCGGTTATTTATCAGAGCAAAATTGAGACACAGGAGAAAACAAAAACTGCTTTTGACTATTTGTAAGTATACTTCTGGGAAGATCACACAATTTCATCAATTGTTGTGATGAAATCCATTTCTAGCATTCTGTGAGAATGTCACCTTCAGGGTACACTCAGCTCTGTCACGACCCAATAGGATAATGCGCTGGAAATCAAGCCCCACTGTTCTCGCAGTGGTCACAAATGTTAAAATTTGATTAAACCACCAAAATGCCCAATTTTACCTACCTGTCCAATTCAGGTTTTAGAAAAAAGGCACACAAACAAGAAAATAACTATTTATTGTAATCTGACTGTTTCTTTTTTAATGATCAAAAAAGGCGGCACGCTGAGTAGCTAATTTATAACTCTATAAATCTACCCCTTTCTTAAAATCCCCATACACATTCCATTGTACACACGAAGAGATAAGGCAAAGCACATGTATTATGGATGAAGGAGGGAAAAAACAAATATTTTCTTCCATGCTTCTGAATTGTTCAGGCTATAGTTTAGGGGTGGATACACTATATAAACCATATGAATCAGGCAGATCACTCTTTAAGTAGCACAGTTCTGGCACCAGTCTGGATCACAGACAGCGATGAGTTGTTTTCCTTCAGCTTTCTTTTGACTTCTTTCAATTCTTTGATAATGACACGAGGCTGTGGATGCTTCGGTTCTCAGTTTTTCATTCACTGATTGAGGATTCACTCTTTCGGTGCCTCTGAAAGTGGTTTTTCCACTTTTCCTTTCAACAGGGAATTTGCAGACAGACCATCTTACAGAGAGAGACGAGGGAGAGTAGATAAATAATGGGGATTTTCTTCTGCTTCTCTGCACAGAAGTGGGAGGTTGGGCATGGGGTTTGGAATAGGTGAAGTGAGAAAGAGGTGGATACTTTTTTATCCCCACAGGCAGTATGTTCTTCCTGTATTTTCTACACTGAAGGCAGTATCCACCTGAGCAGGAGCCAATCAGGCATTTCACAGAATCCCTACAGTGTGGAAACAGGCCCTTCAAACCAACACCGACCCTCAGAGCACCCCACCCAGACCCATTCCCCTAAAACCCACCTAATTTAACATCCTTGAACATTATGGGCAATTTAGCATGGTTAATCCACCTAGCCTGCACATCTTTGGACTCTGGGAGGAAATCGGAGCATCCAGAGGAAACCCACGCAGACACAGGGAGAATGTGCAAATTCCACATAGACAGTCACCTGAGGGTGGAATCGAACCCAGATCCCTGGCGCTGTGAGGCAGCAGTGCTAACCACTGAGCCACCATGCTGTATTACTATAATGGGCCTTCCTGAGCCTAGAACAACTCCCGAATGAAAAATCTCTCAAAAGACTGTCTCTGGCCAAGATTACATACAGGCGGTGTCACTCTGTCTGGAATGCTCCCTCACTGTTTGAATAAGGCAACATTGTGGATAAAACTTACAATATGTTCCCGTAAGAGATAGCAAGAACTGCAGATGCTGGAGTCAGAGATAACACAGCAGGCCAGGCAGCATCAGAACAGCAGGAAAGCTGACATTTCGGGTAGGGACCCTTCCTCAGAAGAAGGGTCCTGACACAAAACGTCAATTTTCCTGCTCCTCTGATGCTGCCTGGCCTGCGGTGTTCCTCCAGCTCCACAATATGCTCCAGTAACTTGTTTTAAAGCCATTTTTGGTTTACAGTTCATAAACATAAAAGTGGCCTTTACAATTCCAAGGATGATACCATTGACTGGTTCAAAATGTTGGTAACTTTCAATTCTGCTCAGCAATGGGTGGGGGGTTTATTGCAAGGTTTCCACTGGTTCTCTCAGAACAGCTCAGCATCACTGCAGAGGTTTTCAAAGCTTACCGGCAATTGGAGAAAGAGACAAATGAGAACAGAAATGTTAACAGTGCTGCAGTTAGTGTACTGCTGGCAAGGCAGCTAAACTACACTGGGACTCAAGGAATTAAGAGCAGTTGGATGGCATAGTGTTGTTGGAACTTAGGTAGAATTTCTAGGCATAAATAGGCAGCTAAATGCTGGAGACAGCACTTAGAAGAAGTTCTAGGAAGCTGAGAAAGTGGGAAGATTATTAGCTCTGTGCTGGGACATGCTTTAAGGGGCTGAGAAGAAACCCATGAGCATTAATACTTCGATGTGTTGAGATAATGGAGGTTGAAAAAATCACAAGTGGTTTTTGCTTGATGCAACTGTTACGAACAAAAAAAATCCAAGGGAGACTGGCGTGGTGATGCTCTAAGTTAGTGAGGAGCTGAAGTTATGCTCATGAACAGCTAATAGAGGACAATTTTAGGGTTCAGGGTAGCATAGATGCAGGAAACGAAAGTGATTGATCAGAGCCAGAGCAATCACTTAGGTGATCCATGATGGAAAGGGAGTTTCAAGGCCAGGGTCAGCAAACGTGATTTATTTATCTTTTTTTTTAATTTATTCATTCATTCATCCATCCATCTACTTATTTATTTATTCATTCATTCATTTATTTATTTATTGATTATTACGAATTGTGATCCCTAATGAAATCTACAGAAAATCAACAATCCATCCTGGCATTAACATTTGGGGATTGTCGCTGAAAAATTTGTGATTCTGTCTTTATCAGATTTACTATCTGATGTGCATTGTGTGGTGCTCAAACAAGTTTATTCCTGATATTTACTACATGTTAATACTGGATGTTAGAAATAAGTCCTACAAATGTTATAGAATGCATTTCTGTTCTAATGTCATAAAGTTTATGGTTGCTTGTTCAAACCATGAACTATTGTGGCTTTATTCTCTTAGTACATCTCCTGGATCCTACAGTTTATCTACTTTAAAAATAAAAATAACTGGTCCCTAGCGAAATTATAACATAAATTTGGTGGCCTGGTCTGGGATGGTAACACAGTGCAGTATAGTTCTGGTGTGGCTACTGTTCTGTTACTACTCCATTAAATCTCTTGTTCTCATCCCTCGATCTCTATGTGCATTTGTGGTTTATTTTTCTCTCTCCTTGTGTACTTCTGGGTTCTCTCTCATGTGCCTATCCCCTTCTTACTTCTCACCCCTTTGTGTTCACTTCACTTACTTTGTCTGAACTTTTAACATTTGACTCTTTGCTTCCGAACTCTAAGATGTCGGCCTGATCATCTTTCTGGCTAAACTTTTCTCTCTGTATAAACACTCTATAAAATTTAGTTTTTCCCTCTCTAAACTTGTCTCTTTCCTTGTTTGGGCTGTGCTTGTCCAAACATCATATTCAGAGATGTGATACACACTTCTGGAGTCCCTAGGACTTGAACCCAGGCTTCTTGGCTCAGATGTAAGGACACTTCTTGTATCCCATAAGAACCCACTGAATTTATGCAGAGTGCATTCAGAAGTAGATTCAGGTAAGCTGTGCAGTAAATGAGTGATTTTGACAGTAGACGTAAAGATCAAGAGCTTAAGACCTCAAATCAAAATGTAAATCACAAAAATATTATCCAATAACTTCATCTGTAAAAGATGTTAATTCATCCAGAGCTTACAAATATATTTAATCCATACTTCTAAACAGAGTTACTTGCCCAATAAAAATGGGAACTCAAGTCTTCAATCACTCATTTGCCAACCAAATAAAACCTCTTTCATCTTGGATTTTACCTCATTGCTGAGGTTTCAGTGGTATTTATAATTACTGAGTTTGTTTATTTTAGTGAAACTGCGCTACTTTAACACGTTGTTTATCTGCATTAAATACCAAAGATTTGCTGCATGAATTGCATTATCTGCACTGATCTACTTGAAAAGGAAAGATCTTTGGGGCGAGGGTGCAACAACAACAAAATGCGATTGATTCAATGGCTTTTTCAGAGCTCACACAGGTATGATGAGTCAAATGGTCTCCTTCTGTGCTGTATGATTGTATGAACCTACCAGCTGCTTTCCTGCTGAATGCTCTCTCCATAGTTGCTTCTCATTGCTATCACACCATCCATTTTCCCTCTGATCAATATGTTGCATCTCACCACTTTGACTGAAACTAGCTGCTCTTAGTCCCTGAAAGCATTGCAAGAGAGTCTCAACCACAGGCCATACCTATCCCGTGTTGCTGACTGTGACTTACTTGTTGTTCCACTTGTTTATTTGGGAACAGGAGAAAGCCATTCAGTCCCTGAGGCTGCACTACCATTCAACTAGATGATGATTGATCTGTGGCTCAAGTACAAAACTTTTCCTACCTTGGAATGTGCATTTCTATTTCTGTTAGGCAAACAGATTTTTTCCATATTTAATTAATCACATCAATCAGTACAGAAATAGCGAAATGCGTGATTGTAAAGTGGTACATACTGGAAAATCCAAAAATGATCGAAATTCATATAAGAGTTCTTTATGTTACAAGGCAACCTTCTTCCTTACCAGTCTCACAGCTTGATTGGCTGTTTCCTTAGCTTCTTTCGCAACTTTTTCAGCTTCATCAATTTTATCTTTGATATTAGTATAAGCTCTGAAGGCTGCAGTTGCATTAAAGGATAGATTCTTCGCTTCAGCAAGGATACTGTTTTGTAAGAGAAAAACAACAGCAATGAAAAACAACTTTGAACATCTTTACATTTTCAAGTTCTTTAACAAAATGTTAAACATGTTGTTTTCTCAAATAAATTAGTTCAATTAGTGATATCTGATTGATTGTTTTTGCCTTTGCAAGGCATAAACACATAGCTCTACAGCAAAGATGATGAGGCAGGCCACCAAAATTGCCATTCACAGACAGCTACCTTATAAGTACTGTTCCTGGCAGGGATTGCCCTGTACCAAGATGCTAAAGACACTACGCTATGGTAGAGAGCAGGGCAAACTGGGGGCTCCAACATGTATTTCTGTGACTGTACGGAACCGTACACAATGCCAAATGCAGAAAATAGTGAGAAGACCCAGCAGGTCTATCCAAAAAGAGGAATATCAATGATCGCATTGCGGATGCTGGAAATTTGGAAAAGCTCCGCAGGTCTGGCAGCATCTGGGTTGAGAGAAACTGAGTTAATGTTCCTCAATGATCATCTTGCATCAGAACTTGATTCTTCATTAGAACATTCATTCTCGCGAATGATCTCCTCCAGAACAGTTAAATCGCATTTTCTCCTCGTTGATGCTGTTGGGCTTATTGGGCTGAAACTTATGGTGTGGAAAATGTTGTGAGAAATTGACCAGCTAAGAATCAGTCCAGCCTGCAGCAACAACGGGCTGAGGGTGGTGTTCTGAGATTGAAAGTGGGGCCTTGGCCTCCCACGTCCACCGTCCAGAGCCATCGGCCAATCTGTTTGGCTGGCAGCTCCAACATTGCCAGCAGCAGTAGTATTCAGTGCAGGGGGATGCAGGCAAGACTATGAAGAATACAGCCACAGATCCTGAGTGAACTAAGTCAAGGACATTGGGCAGGGAAGGTTTGCTCTCTCTTGGAGTGGCTGGGGTAGGGAGGACATGGAGGTGGGTTTTGAAGTATAGATGAGTAGAAAGGAAAGGGGTTTCTATCTTCTCATGGGGTGCTCTAATGGGAAAAGGGCACTCTCCAATGTCCCCATTGCTGACAACACACCCGGCTGAAACACATAATATTTAACCATTGAGATAGTTTCCCACTGTCATGCTGTCAATGCAGAATACTATCCACCACCAGCACACATCTTAAACTTGGGTAAATTCTGGGCATAACTTTCTGTCCTTTAACCAATGATTAGAAAATCATAGACTATGCCTTCCGAATTTCTGTTCTGTATTATCAGTGATTAAAACTTCCACGGTTGGCCAAAATCAGAAAATAAAGCCTACTGTGTGTTTGCAGCATGTACTGTTCAATATCTAATAATGTGTTTAATGCAGCATATTATTCTTTTCAAAGAACTTTTAAATAACATAGTGTTCTTTTTCTTTGAATTCTTAAGACTGTGAAAACTTAATTAACTCTCAGTTTCTTGGAAGTGTAAACTGATTTTCCTCTATCAAGAAATTTAAACTGATCGACACCGAACAAGCTTATTTCAAAATTTGTTTTGTAAAAAGGCTTTTGGTCCTTCTATTCTCAACTCTTGTACATCTCCTCATTGTCACCCCACCATTGAACTTCCTCCATTAACTTCTCTGTCACTGCATTATTGCACCTCTCCCTCTTAAGACTTTTCTCAAAATCAACTTCATTGACCAATCTGTTACTCACCTTTCCCAATATCATCATCTTTGGCTTGGAATCCATTTTAGTCCAATTAAACAAGGCAGATTTTAAACAAGGCCATGGGGGTCAAACCCTATTTTGAAATCAATTTGAAAATTATGGTCCAGTAGGTCACCTCACAATATTGGGAATTTACAATGGTCTGTGTGAGGGAGGAAATGGGAATTCTGGTCACTTGCAGCTACTGGCCCATTAAACTTCTTAAGAAGCTTGTTAAATGTCCCAGTCCAATGGGGAATGTGACTTTTTAATCTTTATTTCTGTACACGTGAACCATCTGGTGCATACCAGCACCTGACAGTTGCATTTATTGTAGAGACATCGAGAAGTTAAACTGACTTTATAGAAGAGTGAATTTTGATAGGCCCATGGTGTTGGGGCCAGAATTACATCATTTTGGTGTTTGTGTGGGACTTCCATCAACGCTCCACTTCCTGACCTCCTGATGAGCCGCCTGCTCTATACAGCAGGGTAGAGGCAAGCCCCAAGCTCCTACCTCCTTCGGGGGCACATGCCGTCTCTAATTGGATGCTGAGCTCAACTTCTGCCCATTCATCCCACTTATTTTAAAAATAATATCACAGATTTGGGGACCCTGAATTCATCCAGGTGTCGGGTCTTGACCCCATTTTGAAAATCCGGTTCCTGTTCTCTGAAGCACCTTGACTTGTTTCTTATATGTTACCTGTTTCTTACATGTTAAAAGTACTGTATAAATGTGGTCATTAACATACCCATCCAGAATTCCAGATGAGTCATTAAGTACTGCAGCATGATACTCTGCTCGAAGGACTAGTTCTGGAAGTTTCTCATCACGAATGCCAGCTGCCAGCTCATCCATTTTGTCTTTTAGCTTCCCAATTAATGGCTCTAAATGTTCTTGTTCACTAAGTTCCTGTAAATCAATGCAGAAATGTGCTTAATATAAACAACAGATAATTAGTTGTCACTTTTACTCATTATATTCAAAGTGTAGAAAAGATCCAGATATATTTCACAATGGAAACTAAATCAAAATACATAGCGATTTCTACATTGTGAATAAAATACTTGTGGCGTTTGGAGATTACAAGTGAAGTGGTTATGTTGCTGAATAAGTAATCCAAAGGTCTGAACTAATCATCCAGCAACTGTTGACAGAGAAATTCATTTCAAATTCAACCAGATGGAGTCTTTCAATTCAGTTAATTAAACAAATCTAGAATAATAAACTAGCATCTGCAATAGTGACTGTGAAACAACTAAATTGTTAAATACTACCTGGTTCACAATCGGGTTTTAGGGAAGGAAATAAGCTGTCCTTAACTGCAAAGAAGGAAAAATCATTTAAACTGGCAAATGTGACTTCCTAGTTCAACTCTGCTCATGTACTCAAGATTCAACTCCAGTACAACCAGTACATTAATTTCCAAGTATTAATGATATTTTTATAGCATTTCCCAGCATTTTTGTGATCACAGATCCACTGCAACGTGGAAACTCTTAGCTTCCCACTGGAGAGACCCAGTAAGGTCACTTACGCCCCCACAAGGGCAGTATAATGGACAAGGAATGTTGGGTTTGCCAATCATGTGTGCATTCCATGACTGAATAAAATATGCACACAATATATACACAGAATTTAGAAATTTACAAGGTCTGTACTGTCAGTTCCCTAAAACCTGGTTTCAGAGGAGTGAAAATGTTTTGTATCTCAGGTATCTAAACATAAATCGTTTTAATGTTTGGTCATATGTAAATTGCTCTCATTGATTTCCTTTGGAAATACAAATCCCTGGCATTTGCTTCACATATTTAACAAAAATAGATTCCAATAATGGGGTATGATAATCTACTGAAAGAGTTATGCACTAGTCTACATAGTGTTCTTGATACCATGCTTATGGCTTGGCACTATAAACTAGAGGGGACTGAAAGAAGGTATTTTGTATAGAACTCCCCATGCCGTGACATGAATGAAGAATATTACAAACAACCTGGATCATATCAATCCAGACTTATCAGTCATAACTGCCATGGGTAAAACTATCTTGTATTGTTCTGAAAGTTAAGTCGTTTATTCTATCGACTGATTAATGCTGAGAAACCTTTCTCTAATTGTTTCTATTACGTTCATGTAATAACTATGCACTGCCGATATGCAGTTAAGTTGCATTAATCATTATTAATTTATGCTATTCATTTTTTATTACTTACAGTTAATCCCAAAGAAATTTTTTCCAAAAGCTGCTTCGCTGCAGCTATAAGATAATGACCTTCATTAAGGACATCTTCTGTATCCTTTTTACCACCTTCAACTGCCTGTTTCCTTTTCTGAATTCAAATAATAGGAAAGAAGAAATCAGCTCTTACAACACGAGAAAATACATTCATTGTTTGGCACACATTTCAGCCCTATAAGCATTTTATACATGGAACTAGTAACTTTTCCAGCTGGAAAACAGAACTTTGAGGCATAAAAATGTGACAGAGGCATTCTTCAAACTGTTCAGTCTATCAAAACAACACAAATAAACAAAGTCTCACATCTAGTAGGGCTGGAATCATCTGAAGTTCTTTTGAATCGACTGTTCAGAGATGTAAATGACACACCTCTGGAGGACATAGGACTTGAACCCAAGCCCTTGGTTTAAAGGTAACCTAACTTTTGAATTTCTGCCATTGTGGCAAAGAAGATATATCTAAAATTGATTCAGAGATAGTGGGAACTGCCGATGCTGGAGAATCATCCACTTCACTAACATCTTCCACTCCATCTTAAGTTCACCTGGACCATCTCCAATACCTCTCTCTCCTTCCTGGACATCCCTGTGTCCATCTCTAGCAGCCATCTAGAAACTGATATCTATTTCAAGCCTACCGACTCCCACAGCTACCTAGAATACACCTCCTTTCACCCACCTTCCTGCAAAAATGCCACCCCCTATTCCCAATTCCTTTGCCTCCGCCGCATCTGCTCCCGAGATGAGGCATTCCACTCCCGGACATCCCAGATGTCCTCGTTTTTCAAGGACCGCAACTTCCCCTCCAGAGTGGTCGAAATGCCCTCGACCGTGTCTCTCGCATTTCCCTCAACTCATCCCTCACACACCCTCCCCGCAACAACTAAAACAGAATCCCCCTCGTCCTCACGTACCACCCCACCAACCTCCGGATCCAACGCATCATCCTCCGGCACTTCCACCATCTGCAATCTGACCCCACTACCAAAGACATTTTTCCCTCCCCACCCTTATCTGCTTTCCGGAGGGACCATTCTCTCCGTGACTCCCTTCTCCGCTCCACACTCCCCACCAGCCCCACCTGGCACTTGTCCCTGCAACCACAGGAAGTGCTACACTGCCCCACATCTCCCCCCTCACCCCCATCCCAGGCCCCAAGAAGACCTTCCACATCAAGCAGAAGTTCACCTGCACATCTGCTAATGTGGTATACTGTATCCGCTGTTCCCGATGTGGCCTCCTCTACATTGGGGAAACCAAGCGGAGGCTTGGAGACTGCTTTGTGGAACACCTACGCTTGGTTCGCGACAAACGACTGCACCTCCCAGTCATGAACCATTTCAACTCCCCCTCCCACTCCTTGAACGACATGTCCATCCTGGGCCTCCTCCAGTGCCACAGCGATGCCACCCAAAGGTTGCAGGAACAGCACCTCATATTTCACTTGGGAACCCTGCAGCCCAATGGTCTCAATGTGGCCTTCACAAGCTTCAAAATCTCCCCTCCCCGACCGCATCCCAAAACCAGCCCAGCTCGTCTGCACCTCCCTAACCTGTCCGTCGTTCCTCCCACCTATCCCCTCCTCCCATCTCAACCTCCACCCCCACCTCCTACCTACCAGCCTCATCCCGCCTCCTTGACCTGTTTGTCCTCCCTGGACTCACCTATCCCCACCCTAAAGTCCCACCTACACTCACCTTTACTGGCTCCATCCCTGCCTCTTTGACCTGTCTGTCTCCTCTCCACCTATCCGCTCCTTTATCCATCTTCCATCCACCTCCCCCTCTCTCTATTTATTTCAGAATCCCCTTCCCCTCCCCCATTTCTGAAGAAGTGTCCAGACCCAAAATGTCAGCTTTCCTGCTCCTCTGATGCTGCTTGGCCTGCTGTGTTCATCTAGCTCTACACCTTGTTATATCTAAAATTGCTTGCCTACATTTTCAGCTTTGAGGACAGAGTTTGTTTAACTGTTCCAGAGCACCATCCTAGAGATCTACAAGTAAGTGTTTAACTTCTTGCAACACCAAAGATCATTTTCTAAGTGGACATCTATGCATGCAAAAGGATTGCCTAGATACTATCACCCATTTATCTACAAAAGTCCTGTGCCATTTCTGAACAGCCAAGGCATTGTCTCTGTTACTCTATCAGATATTTAGAAAACTTATTTTTTGCCTCAAACTGAGAAATACTGAATGCCATGGTGTGAGAAATTATGAACAGAACAGCAAAAATGACATAATGTACGCAGTTTTCAAACAGCCAATGCTTTGAAAACAAATTGATTTAAAGTCCCCAAATCTGGTATATACAAATACAAGAGGGCGACTGTAATAACTGCACAGAGGTCGGTGTTCCGTGACTAAGTCATCCTTATTTCCTCATGTATAGTACACTGACTGTGGCTAGCCAGCTCGGAGTCAATCCTCAAGTGAGGAGATTCTAATCTTCTGGTTATATTGCTCAGCCAGGGCCCAAGCTAACAACCCCAACCAAGAACCTCATAGTTAACAAGGTCCATCTGGTTGCCATCACGACAGGGATTCTCCTTGAATAGATGAAATTCCAGGAAAACTGAATCTCTTCCCATCCCTTCTTATCCTGCCACATGGTATTCTCCAGGCACATGAATATCTGCATGAGGGTGGCAAACTCCCGCAACCAGATCTGAACCCACCAGTGACAGCAAGAAAACTTTGGTGATGCTGAACTGAGGACAGTTCTGGAACTGTAGCCCAGTAAAGAAACTGACATCTTCAGGATACAATTAGAAGGTGAGAGTGAGGTAACAGGAAAACAATTAGAAGTCTGAATATATTAACATTTCACAAGATGGAACAGAATCTTCCTTTTAGGACAATGTGGGACTAAAACCAAGAGTGGAGTGGGGACGGCCAGTGGGCCCAGAGAGGAGTGGGGATGGCCACTGGGCCCGGAGTGGAGTGGGGACGACCAGAGGGCCCGGAGTGGAGTGGGGACGGCCAGTGGGCCCAGAGTGAGTAGGGACACAAGTGGGCCCAGAGAGGAGTGGGGACGGCCAGTGGGCCCGGAGAGGAGTGGGGACGGCCAGTGGGTCCAGAGTGGAGTGGGGACGGCCAGTGGGCCCGGAGTGGAGTGGGGACGGCCAGTGGGCCCAGTGTGAGTGGGGACGGCCAGTGGGCCAGAGTGAGTGGGGACGGCCAGTGGGCCCGGAGTGCAGTGGGGACGGCCAGTGGGCCCGGAGTGCAGTGGGGACAGCCAGTAGGCCTGGAGTGGAGTGGGGACAGCCAGTAGGCCCGGAGTGGAGTGGGGACGGCGAGTGGGCCCAGAGTGGAGTGGGGACGGCGAGTGGGCCCAGAGTGGAGTGGGGACAGCCAGTGGGCCCAGAGTGAGTGGGGACGGCCAGTGGGCCTGGAGAGGAGTGGGGACAGCGAGTGGGCCCAGAGTGAGTGGGGACGGCCAGTGGGCCCAGAGCGAGTGGCGACAGCCAGTGGGCCAGAGTGAGTCGGGACGGCCAGTGGGCCCGGAGTACAATGGGGACGGCCAGTGGGCCTGGAGTGGAGTGGGGATGGCCAGTGGGCTCAGAGTGAGTGGGGATGGCCAGTAGGCCCAGAGTGGAGTGGGGACAGCCAGTGGGCCCAGAGAGGAGTGGGGGCGTCCAGTGGGCCCGAAGTGGAGTGGGGATGGCCAGTAGGCCCGGAATGCAGTGGGGATGGCCAGTGGGCCCAGAGAGGAGTGTTGTCAGCCAGTCGGCCCAGAGAGGAGTGGGGACAGCCAGTGGTTCCAGAGAGGAGTGGGGACGGCCAGTGGGCCCAGAGTGAGTGGGGACGGCCAGTGGGCCCGGAGTGGAGTGGGGACGGCCAGTGGGCCCAGAGAGGAGTGGGGACGGCCAGTGGGCCCAGAGAGGAGTGGGAACGGCCAGTGGGCCCGGAGTGGAGTGGGGACTGTGGTCACTGGACCCGGAGTGGAGTGGGGATGACCAGTGGGTCCAGAGTGAAGATGGCTACTGATTGTGAACCAATGGCACCTGGTCAGACCACATGGAAGCCCTCATAGAAAGACTGTAGTGTCCATCTTCTTAGCCTTATTTCTTATTTTCCTAACTTATAATTGTACTATGTGTATCTGTAACTTAGTGTAACCTTTTCCTTTATTCTCTCTATTTTTGTACCTAAGATTTGTACTTTGTACCTAAGATGGCACCATGTATTGGCGACACTGTACACTTTTCACTGCACTCCTGTTCTTTTGTAACTTGAGTGCACGTGACAATAAACCTAATTCTAATTCTAAATTCTAAATAATGTCCTGAAATGCTTCCATCCTTCTTCAGGAGAAGAATGCATACAACCAGAACAACCTCGCATGTGCGCTGTGGGTGGGGAGAGATGCCTGACTTCTGACACCTTTTGAGGAGCAGGCCATCAAATTGACAGGGAGAATGTGACAGATCTAATGAGGAGTTTGGATATTGACAACCAGCAAGTGAAAAAGCCTCTAAGCAGCTACTTCCAACAGCATATCAAGCATCAATGTCTCAATAAAACCTCGGTAGGGAGGGCAACTCCCAATACTAACAAATCATCTCCTTATGCAGCCTCTGGATCCCACTCTCAAGCCAGACAAAATTAAAAGCCCCAGCAGCCAGGTCCATCTCTATTGACACTTAGCCTGCATCTCTGAGGAGGAACAGTTATAAGCCTGGAGCATCCCAACCTCCCCCAGTATAAAGGCATTCACCTCGGTAGCTAATCTATCGCCAGTAGGCTCAAATGAGCACAGCACTGACATGGACGCACAGCCAGAGGAGACAGAAAGTGCTGAGGTCTCTGACACTCGGAGGACTGCTGTTGAACATGCCACTGCACAGCCCAGTGCAGATGATGGGCCTCTGGACTCAGCCTTGAATGAGCTGATTTTGATGCAGGAGTAAGCAGGAGAACTTCTGCCAGAGGTGCCAGAGATCATGCACAGACTGCAGTGAAGGGCAGAGGAGCCCTGCCCAGGTTTGTCTGCCTTTGAGTTTCAGCATGCAAGCACATGATTGCCTCCTTGAACTGGGTGGAGAGCTAGGTCCAGCAGAATAGTGAGTTTTAGCTGGACATACGCGGGATTTTCACTTCATCACCCCAAGCATTCACTGGCTCACCAGTGTGGGAAAAGGGGGCCTCAACCTCACTCCAGTTGTCCCATTCCTCAATGGGTGAGGAAGTGCCACTGCATGCCAGCAAGGAGGAGAAGCAACAGACAAGAAATCAGGGATTGCTATCTCAGGACACTCCAGAGGTGCCCTGCCACACCAACACCCCTCTTTATCAGGCCAGCCTGAGAAGGGTGTCACCACACCAATGCAGATGTATATTGTTGAGTGTCAGTTTTGAATGCCTCAGTTGGGTACATTGGCAGTCGATAGGAATATATGCAAACTAATCTGGAGTCCCTCCCATTTGCACTGTGCATTATTTAACAGACCTTCTTTCGGAAACAATTTTGAGAAAGATGGCGGTTTTAAACTTTACCTTCAACTCTTTCACCCTCTTTCTCCCCATAACTGAAGGTGGCCTTCTCTTTCCTCTGGTATTCCCTCTGTCCTTCTTCAATCTCCCTATGACTATGGGTCTCCACTGAACTTTCTGTTTTTTCAACCAATCCCATTCCCTCTTAAATCTCCTCGCCCAGCCTCACCATGTCCTCCATCACTCCTTAGACTTGTTTTCCCTTCCCAAGATTAACCCATTGTGTTACTCAATGAGATCTGTCACTCGTCCCCTTCCTTGTCCCTTTCACTGTGACTCTCCTGTCCACATCTCAATTTCCGGACCTCTGTTCCTACGGATCCTTCCAATGTCCTGCGACAATCATGCCCTGTAAGTTCCATCCCTTCTGTTCCGTTCTACACAGTCCACCTTTATCTGTCAAGCCCCTTTTCAAGACAGTCTCCTCTTCAGTATTGCCCCCTTTTAATTTCAGACTGCCTTTCAGTTGAGCCCCACTTGTCTGCCCCACTGAGGTTCAGTGTGGCTGCTTTGCTTGCGTTAGAGTGCCCTGTCAGCCTTCATCCCATACACTGTCAGTGTTTAACTGCAACAAGCAAGAGTGCATATGACTGAGACTTCCCATGAGCCAGGTGACCTATTGAGCCTTCACGCATTACACTGCAAGGATTTGCACAAAAAAACTTGGTTCTGAAGAAACCAAGTTACTTCAAGTTACCAAAGAAACCATTTTATCCTCTCCAGAGCTTGGAGGAATAAGTTTACCCCACCCAGTATTGACTTCATGTATATAGTCAGGTTTGTGAACACATTTGTTCCCCACTTTTACGTAACAAAATTGTACCCGTGAATGTAATTCCAGTAGGATGTGGTGTTAATCAGTATTCACAACATGCTGACGAATGCAAAAGAAGTTCCCAAAACACAAAGGTCAGGTAGATGACTGGTTTGACGGGTTCCAAAAACTTAACGGAAAATCTTTAACCACTGAATCTTTGACCCTTGCTCAATTAATTTCTCTGGCCTGCCCTTCTAAAAATTCCGGGTGGGCACTGAAGATTCCACCCATTGTCTCATACTGCAAGTGCACTCATTCACTGCCTTTAATGTAGAAACTGTTCAAAGATGCTTTTAGGAGGGGTAGAGGCAGTGGTGAGTAATAGATAGGGGTATGAATACCAAATCATGGAAAGTGAGAAGAAATGACTAAAACCTTGGTTGAAATGATAGGATTGGAGAAGGTAGTTAAGGGATGAGATGAAATTGCACAGTGAAAGGGGTTCAGGAAGGGAGTACAACTAAGGTGTATGTAATAATTATCTACCTCCAATGCAGTCATGTTTCTCTGATTAACAGCAGACAAGTGGTTGGTCTCCTTGATTTTTTCTTGCGCTTCTTTCAATAGCTCCTGGGCTTCATCAAAATTGTTTTTGTAATCAGCGAGTTTCTTCTTAACCTCATCCTTCAGCCCTTGAGTCGTCTTATGTGGATTGTTGAACAACTTTTTCACTCTCTCTAATAGTGCGTTGGCTGCGCTGAAGTCCAGAAAAAAATTAAGATATTATTACAACGGGAAAATGTTTATACTTTAGAATATAAATCAATAAGGGCTGGTTTTCATAACCCTTCCCTCAGGATATGCACAATTTTTTTTCCCCAAGTACAAAAGCATTTTGCAATATCTCTGCCCACATTATGTTGCCAGTTTCTAGAGCTTTCCAATGGAGGTGGGAGATGGATTTTAGTTTTAGCTTTCAGTAGGGTTGCGAAAGCTGCTACATGTCCTTCTCTTTTTGCCACAACGAAAAACCAGGGTTCTCGTCCTGCTGCTAGAATTGCATGTGAGACAATCTATATTACTGAATTTGTCTTTGCCAAGGGTGTGGCTACGGGATGTTACTATATTGGAATAGTTAATTAGTAGCTTATTATTTTGTTAATCATTTTGATAGAGTTACAGTTAAGCCAATTCTTTTATTTTTATTTTGTCTGTATTTTAACTACAGTGTATGAATAAAATATGTTTTCCTTCAAGCCTGATAGTTTGACCAATTGAATTGCATCTAGAATGCAACACTTGGCACTTGCCGTTAAAATAAGAAAAAATGTTAGGGTGAAGGCTATCTCCTTGACATGTTTAGAGGGGTTTGGTCTGGTCTATAACAGTGGTTATAGAGGGAAAGTCTGGAGAGCCAGCACTCCTACTTACTCCAATACCCTTGAAGTCGTTTAAAACATACCTTGCTGATGAAATTTTGAGAATAGCATATGGAAGACTGGACAGGCAGAGGATGATGCATGTTCCACTCAGTTCTGTCCTAAAAGTACAATCTGGATCCTAGAGAACTATCAAAAAAGCAACTGAAGCATTCAGTTATTGAAGCCTTTAGAAATGCCAACAGTCAGTGTTGGCATTAAGAATATAGTAAGGTTACAGATCCTATTTTGAAGCCACTGACCCTTTGTTAACTCCGATTTGGTCAAGTTAAAAACAGCAGCTCCTAGGAACCAGTCTTGTGATACTTTTCTCTGAACTGTTTCAATTGTTCAAATGACTTTCTTTGTTTCTCCGCAAGCAAAACTGAACTGTGCTCATGCTCACTCTCAAGAGTTCCTTCAACTCCTTGACTTTCCCTACATCACTAACTTGACTATTTGACAATGAGTTTCTGAATCTAAATTACTGAAGCAAATTTGAGATATATTAGTGGCCCCAACATAAAACTGGTGTGGAGGTGGAGGAAGCAGTACTTTCAAATCTACCCCAATGGAGACATAATTCCTCAGCAAACAGTCAATGATTTTTAAGCTTCAGCTAGTTTCTTGTTACTTCCTACGGTCCATCCTGAATCACAATTTTGAGTTTAACTCATGGAGCTTGAAGTTGAAATTTTGTCAAATAATTGAGGTACAGCAATCATAGGGCTTACACTATTCACTCTGAAAAGTTTAGGAGATTTGTCAGAATGCAATTTTCCTGTCTAAAGCCATATTGATCGCAATTTACTCGGTTATTCTTGTACAAGCTTCAAACTTTCTTCTGATAACTGATTCTATTATTTTACAACTTATCTTACTGAACTTATCCTTTTTCAATCTATTGACACAGCTCACATATTTCTTCCTAGCAACTCTCAGTAAACTGGGATAAATACCATTTATTTTTGAAGATTTATTTTCAATCCTTTAAGCCTGTCTTGGACTTCCAACACCGTAGTTAACATTGTTTTAAATTGTATATTGTTCATGGGTTCTACTTTAAATACATTTGAGGAAGGAATCGCTCAGAATATTCAGTATTTTCTGCTTGTCTGCAGTTGCAAGCCTCTGTTTATTTTATGGTTCACACTTCTCCCAAACAATTTCCTTGCTGTTGTGTTCCTAAAGAAATGTTGTTATATTCTGCCTCAGCTGTTTTGCTATTCTCTAGAGCACTATAAAAACCTTCACTTCATCTGTTTGGTGTGTTTTTGCTTGTTCTTTTGCTTATCCCAATGAGTCATTTCCTCTTTTTCCCTCCAGAATTTGCAATTTGCCATCACCATTTTAATTAAATCAATATAGTAAATGATTGTTTTGGAAATCTTAAGTTTACAAATAATATCTTGAGTTCTCATTAAACAAAATTTAACTCAGGTTACAGTATGTAATAAGACTCAAACTACATACTCAAGTTCATCTTCAACCATTTCCTCATGTTTATCAAATGATCTGCCATTCATCTCTGCTATCATCTTTTCAATGTCTTGCTGAATGTGCTGTAGATTTTTGTCTGTGACCCCATCCTTGATTCGAAATGTTTCATTTATTTTTTTAGCTTTCTCTTTTAAATCTAGAAAAACAAAGAAAAGCAGGCAATTTTCAATCATTAAATTTCAATAGAGTTGGAGACTTCCATGTATATATTACTTTCATTATAACATCTCTCAGAAATGTGGAAAATACTTCACATAAAAGAATCACATTGGAAAGCAGTTCTGATTGTGTCAGTGTTATTTTGCATGTATCAATAAAACTTAAGATGAATAACCACTTCATTTGTTTTTGGCATTGGCAGAAAGTAACCAAACTCTTTGCTCCTCTTGATTTGTGTGTAGAATCTTTATGATTTGTCAACAACACGAAAATTGAAAAAACAAGCAGGCTTCGGTTTAATCTCACCACAAAAACAAGCCTTTCAACAGTGAAGCGCTCTCTCAATACCTGCAATACTATGTTATCTGGGTAACCTTGATTATTTATGATAGCACACAATCGTCTGAGGTTAGTTACCAACTGTGCTGAGTTTAGATTTAGATTTATTTAACATTGTCACTTGTACCTAGGTACAATGAAAAGTGTATCATGTCACCACATTCCAGAGCCATCTAGGATTACAGATCTAATTACTGAATAAATTGAACAAATAGTAAAATACTGAATAAATTAATAATAAATTGATATTACTAAAACTGAAACAGCTTCAAAAGTTTATCTTGCCCTCTCTGTAGACTTTACCCTCTCTGCTCCTCCTGTCGTGTCGTCTGACAGTATCCTGCCAATGTGCTCCTTTTCTGCTGCCACCAGCACTGCCCCTTCTGCGTCCGCCTTCTCCGAGTTGGAGATGGACACTCTGCGTGTGTCCTGCAGCTCATCCAATACTGGACATCGACCAATGGGGGCCCTGCCTCATCTTCTGACGCCGCCACCGGAGATGGAGCGGGGTTGGAGATACACAGGTCCCTGGCCTCCCGCAGGAGAACATCAGGAGGCCCCAGGGCAACAAAAACCAAAACTAACGTGACCAAGCTACTGAGCCAGAAAGACGACGATAAAGCTGTGCGGATGCTGCTAAGGTGCCGAACACTGCCATCCTTGCTGCCATCTTGGATGTGGCACAGCAGGGATTATTTCACAAATTTGTGATCTCAGACTGGCATGACAACAGCATACACCAGAAATTTTCACTCATGGTAGTTGGTTGATCAATTTAATTGGATGGAAAATTACAAGCTGAGCATGTCTGAGTTCCTGATGGTCACTCCAGTGACCAGTGTTGCTACAGGGAGCATACTGTTGTAAATTTAGTCTTAATATTTTTATTTATGTTTAATTCTAAACACAGAACAGCAGAATCCATACTTACTGATTCCTATCTGATTTGGTAATAATGAAAAAACAAATGAATGTTTAATAGAACATAGAACATAGAATAGTACAGCACAGTACAGGCCCTTTGGCCCATGATGTTGTGCCGACCTATTATCCTACTAAGATCAACCTACCCTGCATATCCTACATTTTACTATCCTCCATGTGCCTATCCAAGAGTCGTTTAAAAGTCTCTAAAGTATCTGACTCCACTACCACTGCTGGCAGCGCATTCCACACGCCCACCACTCTCTGTGCGAAGAACCTACCTCTGATATCTCCCCTATACCTTCCTCCAATCACCTGAAAATTATGCCCCCTCGTAATTGTCATTTCCGCCCTGGGAAAATGTCTCAGACTATCCACTCTATCTATGCCTCTCATCATCTTGTACACCTCTATCAAGTCACCTCTCATCCTTCTTCGCTCCAATGAAAAAAGCCCTAGCTCCCTCAACCTTTCCTCATAACACCTGCCCTCCAGTCCAGGCAGCATCCTGGTAAATCTCCTCTGCACCCTCTCTAAAGCTTTCCATCTTTCTGATAATGAGGTGACCAGAACTGAAAACAATATTCCAAGTGTGGTCTAACCAGAGCTTTATAGAACTGCAGCATAACCTCACAGCTCTTAAACTCAATTCCTCTGCCAATGAAAGCCAACACACCATACGCCTTCTTTACAACCCTATCAACTTGGGTAGCGACTTTGAGGGATCTATGGACGTGGGCCCCAAGATCCCTCTGTTCCTCCACACTGCCGAGAATCCTGCCTTTAACCCTGTATTCTGCATTCAAATTCGACCTTCCAAAATTAATCACTTCACACTTTTCTGGGTTGAATTCCATTTGCCACTTCTTTGCCCAGCTCTGCATCCTGTCACTATCCCATTGCAACCTACAACAGCCCTCCACGCTGTCCACAACTTCAGCAAGCTTCGTGTCATTGGCAAACTTACTAACCCCATCTTTCCACTTCCTCATCCAAGTCATTTATAAAGATCACAAAGAGCAGAGATCCCAGAACAGATCCCTGCGGAACACCACTGGTCACTGAGCTCCAGGCTGAATATTTTCCATCTACTACCACCCTCTGTCTTCTATTGGACAGCCAGTTTTGTATCCAGACAGCCAAATTTCCCTGAATCCCATGCCTCCTTAATTTCTGAATGAGCCTACCATGTGGAACCTTATCAAATGCCTTGCTAAAATCCACATACACCACATCCACTGCTTGACCTCCGTCAATGTGTTTTGTCACATCCTCAAAGAATTCAATAAGGCTTGTGAGGAATGACCTGCCCCTCATAAAGCAATGCAGACTACTTCTAATCAAACTGTGCTTTTCCAAATAATCATAAATACTATCTCTCAGAATCCTCCCCAATAATTTGCCCACCTCAAGAGTAAGACTGACTGGTCTGAAATTCCCAGGATTATCCCTATTCCCTTTCTTGAACAAGGGAATGACATTTGCCACCCTACAATCTTCTGGTACTACTCTATTGGACAGTGAGGATGCAAAGATCATCGCCAAACGTGCAGCAATTTCTTCCCTCACTTCCCGTATTAACCTTGCATATGTCCCGTCTGGCCCGGGGACTTAACTATCCTCATGTTTTTCAAAATTTCTAGCACATCCTCTTTCCTAGCATCAACCTGTTTGAGCATATCTGCCTGTTTCATGCTGTCCTCACAAACGTCAAGGTCCCTCTTACTGGTGAATACTGAAGCAAAGTATTCATTAAGGACCTCCCCTACCTCCTCTGACTCCACGCACAAGTTCTCTTCACTATCCCTGATTGGCCCTACCCTCACTCTGGCCATCCTCTTGTTCTCACATAAGCATAGAACACCTTAGGGTTTTCCTTGATCCTACCCGCCGAGGTTTTCTCATACCCCCTTCTAGATCTCCTATGTCCATTCTTCAGTTCCTTCCTGGCTACTTTGTAGACCTCTAGAGCCCTGTCCAATCCTTGCTTCCTCAACCTTAAGTAAGCTTCCTTCTTCCTCTTGACTAGGTGTTCCACTTGTCTTGTCATCCAAGGTTCCTTCACCTTACCATCTTTTCCTTGCCTCAGTGGGACAAACCTATCCAGTACTTGTAGCAACTGCTCCCTAAACAACCTCCACATTTCTGTCGTTCTGTTCTGTATGGGTTTGTACATGGGGTCCAATTCTGTTTGTTTGTTGATTGCATTATGGGTTGAGAATCATGCCTCGTGGAATTCCTGTGCGTGTCCATGCTTGGCTTGGACTACTATGGTTACCTTGTCCCAGTTAAACTGATAGCTTTTATTGTCCGAGTGTACTGATATTCGGGCGAGTTCGTCGTGTCACGTATTCTGGTGTTTAAAGCTTGCAATACTTTGCAGAAGCAAGTTTAAATAGTGTAAGAGAACACTGTTTGAATTTACCAGGGTCTCATCTTTCTTTCACAACACAATTCTTAGAGTCATACAGCATGGACACAGATCCGTCAGTCCAAACAGTCCATGCCGACCATGTTCCTGAATTAAACCGGTCCCACCTGCCTGCGCATGGCCCATATCCCTCCAAACCTTTCCGATTCATGAATTTATTCAAATGTCTTAAAAGCATTCTAACCGTACCTGCATCCAACACTTACTCTGGCAGTTCATTCCTCACACGAACCATTCATGTCCTTAAAAATATGGCCCCTAGTTTGAACTCCCCCACTCTAGGGAAAAGATCCTGGTCATTCACCTTATCAATGCTCCTTGTGATTTAATAAGCCTCAATGAGGTCACCCCTCAACCTCCTACACTCCACCATTGCAAATGAGAAAATAATGCATTGAAAATGCCAACCCATCTCTCCCACACAAAAAAAAAGTCCTGAACAAACTCAGCAGGTTTGGCAGCATCTGCAGAGAGAAACAAAGTTAACATTTCTAATCCAACATGGCCCCTTTTCAGAACAGAGTTGTTCGCACACTGCCTGATGTGCTGTGCACACAAGTCAGCTCGGAACTGGCTTCACTAAGCAAATTTCTCCACATTTAAACCTGCTCATCCACCCCACTCTCAAATTCACATGCTCCTCCAAATTTAAAATTTACCTTTTAGGCAGAGACTGACACTTAGCTAAGTGGTAGTAGGAACTGCAGATGCTGGAGAATCTGAGATAACAAGGTGTAGAGCTGGATGAACACAGCAGGCCAAGCAGCATCAGAGGAGCAGGAAGGCTGACGTTTCGGGCCTAGACCCTTCTTCAGAAA